CAGAGAATCCTGACACTTTTTATTTCATATACTAGGATCAACTTACTTTCTACGTTGTCCAACGTGTCTATCATTATTTGTTGTTTATAGTCATCTGTTATTATAGTGAATAAGAAGTCGTATTAGAAAAAGCAGTCTTTAGCGCACGTATTACGTAAATATCACTACGTTTCCATAACGTAAACTTACTCAATTGTTTTTGTTGTCCCTTCTGTGGATTGTTTTGTTGGAGTTGTTGCTTTTTTGTTACGGGTTTAGCTGAAAAAATAAGTGTGACAAATGTTTGATTCTTGATTTCACTATTTTTCTAAACGAAATACAAAACAGAAAGTAAACTTGAAACATATGAAGCGCGCTGAGTTTTACAACATTAAGAAGAAGAAAAACAAGCCAATGACCTCATTAAATGAAGAAAGGTTGAACAATGTGTTCAGCATGTATAGGAATAAGAAGAACAAGGAAAACATATAAGGCGAAATTATTTTCTCTCGACTAACCTGAAGCTATGGACAGAACAGACAAGACGACCAACAAGAGAACCAAGTAAGACTTCATCTTGATTTACTAATTAAGATAACGCAAGATGTTATGGCTGTTAAGTTAGATGATTTGACTAGGCCTTACAATACTAACATTTAATTTTTGAATGACTGGAAAACTTTGATCAATTTATAGAGTCCCGCAAATTTACTGTAAATTATTCAATTTACAGACAAAATATCCTTTTACAAACTTTGTAAATTGATTTTACAAGATATTTACAATGTTTGATCAAGCAAAATTTACAAGATATTTACAGAATGTACATAAAATTTACAAACTTTGTAAAAGGACATTTTGTTTATAAATTGAATTTACAGTATTAATATTTATATATTATTTACAAACTCTGTGAAATAATCAACTTTTCCTGTCAATTGTTGGAAGCATCTCTTACCTGCTAGCTGATAGAATCAATTGATCTCCTACAGAAAAAGGTTTCTAAAAATTGTTGCAGAACTAAAAGCTCCTCGATTTTTTAAACGCACGTTCCATTCATTAAACGTTTTGTCATACCACGAATACAGCTTTCCTATTGGTTGAGGATGAGTGAGGTCATGACCTTAAATATTTGAACTATATTCCAGATTTTTGAAGGTGTAAAAATATGTTAGTAATATTTACATGAAGGGCTTTGATTTGCTAGTCAGTACATATTTGTCGGTCCCAGTGCAAAGTGGGATTAAGATCTTTCTCACTCATAGGATACCAGCAAAATTATCACAAAAGTGTCCAGCGAAAGTTGGTGGTGGATGACACAACACAATATCAAACCTGAAACAGGTTGGAAGATCACTTGCTAGTAGGGGATACGCCCACAAAAAACAGGTGTTGATCCGAGAGGATCGAATAAGGTTTTGATAGCCCTCTAGTGAATTCCAATCTATTGTTAATCTATTGATTTAAATAGAGCAAACTCAGGAAAAACATGAAATAAAATCAAACTAGATACTAACAAATAGAGGCTATCTAGGACAATTTGTCAGTATCAATGAACCAGAACGCCATAAAGATTAATGAAAAATGTTCCCAAAATGTCTCTAAATAGCCGCTATTTCTTAGAGTGATTGCACCTTATCCGTGCAACTGTAAAAACTAAATAGTTCTATTTAGTTGTATTAAGTAGATCGTGCAAACGGTACACAAATTAAATTGAATTGATGCAAATGAAGCATACAATACAGTCTTGGGATGAGCAATTAAAATCAAAAATATCCGTTTTAAAATGCTTTATTTTGTGTTCTATTTAGTGAATTACATCGTGGTTGATCTTTTTTATTTAAGTACTACTTTGGTGATCTTAAGAATTGTCTGCAAGAAATATCAAATGAGATATATGAATTTAGACAGGATCGCATGAAAGAATTTTACAGGATGAACGGATAATGTATAAATTTCACGGAGAGCAGGGCAGAGCAGATAATAAGAAAAGGGCAGTAAAGGAAAGCAAAGCAAAGCACAAGATTTGGAAGCTACCTCGCTATTGATGAGCGATTGTAACATTTCATTTTTCATGACTTTTTTCATGACTTTTACCAAAGTTTGGCGGAGAGCATCATGATATTGGTACTTGACAAAATAATGGATGACATGTCATGAAAACGTCCACAGGACGAAGTTTATCTATATTTTTAACCAACATATGCTTTAGAAACGCAAAAATACATACTTTGCAAGATTCTCAGTATCCTGTCGAGTTTTCCTATTAAAACAATAAATCCAATTTTTTAAACTCAATAAAGTGTTAGCAATGAAATATCCGCCATTTAGATCAAATAAATGGTTGTAGGTTAACTGGATTAGCGGAAACACAGTTCTCTACAGAACTTAAAATTTTCACATTAGAGCTAGAATGCTAGTCCAATTTCGAAATCATAGCGAAAAACCGTTGCTTTATTTGACACTAGATTCTCTTGCGCAAAGACCTGATCAAACACAAAGGATAGCATGAGAAAATGGCATTACAAAAGCCTTGAAAATTTGCATTTTCCCCAAGTTGAGACCAACCCTGTATTCCCATAAAACCTAAGGTATGAGCCTACTATGGGAATACAGGGTTAGCCTCAACTCGGGGAAAATGTAAATTGTTAGCGCTATTGTAATAACAACATTTTCTCGTGCTTTCTTTTGTCTTTGATATGTTCTTTGAGTAAGAGAATCTGCTGTCAAATAAAACAGCGGCCATTCGCTTTAAATTCGAAAATGCAGTACTACCACATTATACATACCATTAATGATACCCAACATATAAGCACCTTTGAGTAAAAAAACAGAAATCGGTTCAGTATTTGTAGACGTAATCCCCCAACACATGCGATATAGAATAAACGTAACATGATAGTGATAATGACAATAACGATGGCCATGGCAATGACGATGGCGATGGCAATGACAGTGACAATGATATACTTTATTAAAGGGACAGTTTGCACCATTATGCTTTGCGCGCCTCATGTTATTGTTATGATTTACACCAAAATACTTCTAGTATCCAAATATCACCATAAAACGAATTGAAAACTCTTATATTAGCGTTTAAAGTGCTTAGAAAAATGAAATGATCAAAAGTGCGATTTGAAACACATAGTACAATAGACTTCTGAACTTTTACGTCAATACTTGATTTTCAATGCATTGTGGGATCAGTTTCAAGAGAAGACAAAAAAAATCCGCCATGTTTTGTCCCAAACATGTCCTACAATGCATTGCGTATACGGTACATGACGTAAAAGCTGCCAGAGATTTATAGACTTTGCGGCGGTAAATTGAAAATGGCCGCCTCCCGGCCCTCTAGGCCCCCCAAAGCATAATAGTGCCTTTAACGTGTCAAAATACACCTATTTCAAAAAACGTTGTCGTCGCCAGTACTCAGTCCACGGTCTTGAGCCTGCAAAGAATCGCGGGACTGCCATATATAATATTTCAGTTATTCAAAATACTCCGATTTAGAGTTCTGGCCATGGTTTGCTCTGTGTTAGCTCCAAAACCAATCAACATATTCTTTTGTTTCATTGATATCCCGAGACAACTCATGGAATTTGAAAATTGAGACAATAGAATTGATTTGAAATCTCACACTTTTATTCTCACAATTAGGAATATTTTGCAAACAAATTAGGCTAACACAGAGCATTGGAGAATTCGAAACTGGATTATTCTCGGTCTCACAGCGAATATAGCTTTGAAACTCATTGACGTGGAATATTCATTTCAAGGAAAATGTCTCATGGCGAGACTTGTTCGATGGGCCGCAATAGTATATTAGTAGTGTTTGCCGCCATTGCATTCAAACACAATATATTTTGAATATATTAATTACGCATGGAAACCCCAGGACTCTTTGCAGGCTCAAGACTGTGGACTGTGTCGTGGTGACGACAACGTTTTTTGAAATAGGTGTATATAGCCCTTTCCCACCTATCTATAAGCACAAAACTAACGTTTAACTCGAGACTAACTTTTGCGAATCATTTTTGCGTAATCCGTAAGGATCCTGCAACAACTACGGCTTCTATTTCAAAAAACGTTCAATACTGACAAAGGTTGATGTATTTCAAGAGCGCAATCCATTGTTGTGGATCGCATATCTGCGAAAATAGCTACGCATTTCACGGACTTAGAGCTATTATTCAATTACACTTACTTCGTTTTTGGCCGCTTTGTACTTTTTGTGGCTGCTCGTTTAACGGGCTTGGCATGGCTTAAAAAGCAAAGAAAATAGTTATTCCGAGTAGAACATGTATAAGATCTTAGATTGATAAGAAACAGAAGAAGATGAAAGGCGAAAAAGTTGATTTAACAGTATATAGACGTGAATTCGAAAAGCAACAACAAGAACAAGCGATGAGAAAAAGAACAAGGACGAGGCACTAAAGACCAAGAAGAAAGGTAAGAATAACTAGCCACTGTGGACAAGAAGAAAACAAGCCAACGAGAAGAAAAAGAAGTCACTGAGGAGAACAATACTTGACAAGACAACTTTTCGACAAATGCCCGCAGAATGGCCGTTGATGAACTGAAGACGAATAACGTCGTCAAACACAAAATCTAGAGCATAAATAAGAGAAATACATTGAGTTACCAAAGAACATAGCACATGTCTGAGAAATAGTTAGAAAAAGAAATATTAGGAAGTTTACAGTAAAAGAAGAAGAAAAACCCCAGAAATACAAGGCAAAAATAATTCTTTTATTTTACCTGAAGCCATGGACACAAGGGTCAAAAATGCCAACAGTAGAACTACGGAAGCCTTCATCTTGAATTGCTATTAATTAAAGTAATTATACAAGGTACGGCTATTAATTTGAAATACACGATTGAAACTGTTTTGAGAAAAAACCCCTTACCACGCTAGCTCAGTGAGAACTTTCGAATGAGACGTGGTTCCTCAACAAAATATGTGGATACTAAATGGTTCAAAATGTGGAAAAAACCTTGAAGTTTTTTTACCTTTGACAAATGTAGCATTGTGATTTGTCCACGTACTGAGTGGGAATTGTGATATTTCTTATTCATAAGATACAAGCGACAACTGTCCAAAAATGTCCAGCGAAGTTTGGTGGTTCATGATATAACACAATATCAAACCTGAAAAATTGGCAGTCGAGGACTGCATGTGTCTCAGAACATTAAGAGATTTGGTAAACTTCGAATACACTATCTTCAGTATCCAACGTTTTCTGAATTAGTTGTATAGGCTGCAAGGAACTGGAACGTGGCCTATAAATACACAAGAGCCTGCGATTCCCAGGTGCCAAGGAACCTATTGTGGTGGTTGATCATTCCTCCCGTGGGGACTGATGAGGGGCGCATCAACATATCAGTCTGAAAGATTCAGACGAAGGGACTTTTATCCACGACATGGAGCGGTCCTTAGAGCTTTAATTTAGCTGTAATCAAAGATATCGGCTTTCTATATCTGTTGATTTATAAACTCATGATTAGTTCTCGAACGTTTTCTTCAATGAAATGTTTTTTTATTCTAAACTGTATTTTTACATCTATGTTTTAAAATTTCTATCATTCGCCTGATTATAGTTTTGCAATAAAACCGAAAGTTTTCTTGATTTCTTTATATATTCAATAATGTGTAAACTTTTATATCATCAAGAAAGAAAATGCGGAACGTTCTAAAGGTCTTGTGTTCCGTTGAATTCCAGCAAATATCTGCCTGGTTTGTAAACCTCTTATGTTAAGAATTTAGCAAAAGGTTTGTGCCTTCGTGTTTATCCGAATACTAATAATGTCTGTCTAATACAAGAACTGTACTACCTAATTTTCCTGTGATGATTTGGAAAACAACAACGACAATTGAACAGCTTGGTGACAGCCGTCATATTACATCGAACATCGGTTTATTCGGCCCCCGGGTGGGGGACTCCCTAATATCAAAGGGCGGGGGTCCTCGGCGGAGATTGTGAAAATGACCCCTAAAAGGGACCTCTATTGTGATATGATGGGCGTGGYAGTGCTGAAATTTCAACCCTAAAAGGGACCAATCAATAACAGATCATTTTGTTTTGGTTTACCGATTWTATTTGTGTTTTTACACAATCATAGAACACCGTCGGCTCGTATTGAGTTTATGACGACGTTGCCA